CTATCTATGTGTTTTATTTTTATTTATTATACAATAAAAAAAAGCAGAAAAAAAGGCCTCTAACACTAGCTTGCTCTATTCTTTTTCTATTCTATCCATTTTCTTTTTATTTATTATATAATTTTAAAAACTTGCTACGTGTACTACGTTAAGCTGAGACTTGTTATAGCACTTGCATATCATCGCTCTTTTGTTGATTTTGATTGCTTCCATTGTCCTCATTTGTAAGTCGTTTTGGATAAAAGCATCTGCTAAATGACTAAATGTAAATGTAAATATGATAGTTGATCATGTGTACACTCATGTTCTATAATGAGTCAATAATGGACAAAGAAACTAGAGCGACAAGTGCAAAAGTGCTATTTAGTCAGTAAAAAATTATCCTTTAGGGTTATGCACATTATACTGTATATTTTGATGAAAACCACAATAATAAGAAAAACATTCTCAAAAGTGATTACACGCATGGGAAAATACAGCACAGAAACTCAATTCTATTATCTAAAAAGTCTTGAATATTTACTAACAGTAACATTTTAGTATAGGGACCAATTCTCACTATTAACTAGCTGATTACTAGCATGCCTATTATTAATATTGGCTGTTTATTAGTGCTTATAAAGCACATATTCTGCATGACCATATTCTACATCTCTAATCCTACCTAATACCTAAACTTAACAACTACCGCATTGACTATTAATAAGCAGCTAATTGGGAGTTTATTGAGGCAAAAGTCATAGTTAACGGTTTGTTAATGGTGAGAGTTGCACCTTAAAATAAAGTGTGACCTTAATAACTACTTCACCGAAAAAGCTTAATTATATTTTTGATATTGTGTATATATATATGCAATATTTTATACAGGATCTGAAGTTGCTTATTAAATTATCAGTGATGTTTTGTCTAGTCAGTGTGAACATCACTAGTTTAAATCATATGGAATAAGTACGGTCAGAAATATGACCTAGTGGTTAGTGCGCATGATCTGACCTATTAGACTATGCCATTCATGGGGATAACATGAGGTGAAGTCCGGCTCACGCCATTTCCCAAGCCGGACCGCCCTTTAAACCGCATTAGATTCTTTTCTTTTTTTTTCTCTCTATTGCACCTTCGAAGAAAAAAGCCAAAAATGCAATGGCATGTACAGTACCATCTCAAATGAATGATTTAGTGAGTGTATGTCTGTCTTTAACTTCCTCTTTCTATTTCCTTTTTGTCACTTCTGTATCTCTACAGCATCAAAGTCTGACAATAATGTTGCCTGCTTTGAGTTAATTTTTTAGGATGTGAAAGATGAAAATACACGCACCTCTGCCGACATAAATTAACTTCTTTTTAGTCACTGAAAGTCTCTTTTCTGCAACGCAAAATAAGGAACTTGCTTATAATTCCTTTTTTATTTTTATTTTTTGTATTTCATGGAAGACAAAAAGTCATATAGGTTTGTAATGACATGAGGGTGAATGAATACATTTTTATAGTTCTAGTGATATATTACTTTAAAGGAAAAATTCGTCCAAAACTATGAACATTTGCTGAAATTTACTCACCATCAGCCCATCCGATGTAGATGAGTTTGTTTCTTTACCGGAACAGATTTGGAGAAAATTATCATTACATCAGTTGCTCACCAATGGATCCTCTGCAGTGAATGGGTGCCGTCAGAATGAGAGAAATAAAAACATCACAATAACCCACAAGTAATCCACACCACTCCAGTTCATCAGATAACGAATTGTGAAGCAAATAGCTGCATGTTTGAAAGAAACAAATCCATAATTAAAGCATCTCTAACTCCAAACTGTTGCTTGAGTCCTCTATCCATAATAAGGCTTCCTACAGTGAAAATTTGTCTGTTCTGAATCAGGAGAGAAATCTGCACAGATCAAGCACCGTTTACAAGCAGCCCAAAACAACTCTAAACAAATATTTTGATGTGAGAGACAACAGATGGACTTTTTAATTGGAGAAAGCGTTCTTTTAGATTAAGGACTCTGCATTTTGACCAGAAGCGGCAGTTTGAATTTAAAATGTCTTCATGGATTTGTTTCCTACACGCATGCAGCTTTTGGCTTCTCAAGACATTAACTGATGGACTGGAGTGGTGTGGATTACTTGTGGATTATTGTGATGTTTTTATCAGCTGTTTGGTCTCTCATTCTGACGGCACCCATTCACTGCAGAGCATCCATTGCTGAGACACTGATGCAATGCTACATTTCTCCAAATCTGATGAAGAAACAAACTCATCTACATCTTGGATGGCCTGAGGGTGAGCACATGTTCAGCAAATTTTCGAATTTGGATGAACTCTTCCTTTAAGCATCTCACTCTGACTGAGCTACTATTTAGCACGATCAGATTGTTGAAGCTCTCTGATGCACGTGAGAGGCTGCAAGTTTCTTTTTTCCTTCAAAAACATAATCCACTCTGAGTCATTGTGTTGGAGGGACAGAGTTTTATGTGTAAATATTTGGGTGTCCAAATAGAGCAGGTTTGAAAGAGCGAGAGGAAAAGTGGCGAGCTGTGACAGAGGAGACACCAGCAGGGAGAAACAATACGAGGGAAAAGAGGAAGTAGAGAAGACAAATAAGACAGACTAAATTTATGAATTACATCCTGAGAGTCCATAGCAGGGGTTCCCTCAACACAAAGCTATTTTAAGTCTGCCGTTTCCGGAAAACCGCAGTGCAAATTCTGTTTGAAATGTAGGCCAAATAGCAGAGAATAACAGATGTTCACTTCCTTTTTGTAGTCAAGACTTCAAAAGTTTTTTTTTTTTGTAAAGTTGTCTTTTATAGCTGTGATCACACCATAAAATACTGCAATACACAGTTTGTAAACAGGTACAATGATAATGAATACTTTTTCCCCATGGTTCGTAATTACAGGTGCTGACAATTGTAGTATTTGTAATAAGAATAACACTCTAAAAATGCTGGGTTGTTTCAACCCAACTTTGGGTCAAATATGGACTAACCCAACTGTTGGGTTAAAAATTTAATGTAAAAATTTAACCCAACAGTTGGGTTACTCCATATTTGACCCAACGTTGGGTTGAAACAACCCAGCATTTTTTAGAGTGAAGAATGATAAAAAATTATATTCACACGCGGTCACCATACAACAATAACAACAACAAAAATATCGTACACAAAAATACATGTTCAAATGTTTGGGGTTGGTCCTTATTATTAATAAAAAGTAAATGTACACCACCATCAAAACATTTGGGGTTGGTAAGTTTTTTTTTTTTTTTTTTCTTCCAATTTTTGAAAGTTTCTTTTGCTCACCAAGGCAGCATTTGTCTGCTAATTTATCTGATAATCTAATTTAGATTCTGCTAATCTGCTAATCTAATTTGCTCATTTAATTTTGTGAAATATTATTAGAATTTAAAATAGCTGATTTCAATGTAAATATGTGTTAAAATGTAATTTATTTCTGTGATCAAAGCTGAATTTTCAGGATCATTAATCCAGTCTTCAGGGGCACATGATCCTTCAGAAATCATCATTTATTTCATCATTTATTATTATTATCGGTGTTGAAAACAGCTGCACTGCTTCATATTTTGGAGACTGTGATACATTTTTTTCCAGGATTCTTTGAAGAATAATATGTTCAAAAGGGTTGTGGCTAGACGGGATACAGCTAAAACCGGAAGCTAACAACAAATGTAATTTTCTTCCTAGTAGAATGTGTTTTATTAACGTCTACACCCCAACCCTAAATCTACCCCTTACAATAATGCAAAAACAGTGATTATTGTTGTACAGCGTGAAAAAAATTACACTACATTGATGTGCGCATGCACAGTAGACGAATCTGTATAGCATCTAGCCTTAACTGTTCAAAAGAACAGCATTTATTTGAAATATAAATAGTTTGTAACAA